TTAAGGTGCTACACTCAATGTGCCAGCAAGTTTGGAAAACTCAGCAGTGGCCAAAGGATTGGAAAAGATCAGTCTACATCCCAATCCCAAAGATGGGCAGTGCCAAAGAATGCTCCAACTACTGTACAATTGCACTCATTTCACACACTAGCAAGATTATGCTCAAAATCCTACAAGGTAGGCTTCAGCACTACGTGGACCGAGAACTCCCAGAAGTACAAGCTGGATTTTGAAGGGGCAGAGGAACTAGAGACCAAATTGCTAACATGTGCTGGATTATGGAGAAAGCCAGAGAGTTCCAGAAAAACATCTGCTTCTGCTTCATTGACTATGCAAAAGCCTATGTGGCAAGTGTTTACAGAAATGGGAGTGCCTGACCACCTTATCTACCTCCTGAGAAATCTATATGTGGGACAAGAAGCAACAGTTTGAACTGGATATGGAAAAACTTATTGGTTCAAAATTTGGTAAGGAGTACAACAAGGCTGTATATTGTCCCCCTGCTTATTTAACTTATATGCAGAATACATCATGCAAAAGGCTGGACTGGAGGAATTCCAAGGCGGAATTAAGATTGCCAGAAGAAATATCAAGAACCTCAGGTATGCTGATACCATTCTGATGGCAGAAAGTGAGGAGGAATTAAAGAACATGTTAATGAGGATGGAAGAGGAGAGCGTCAAAAATGGTCTGAAGCACAACATTAAAAAAAATAAGATCATGGCCCCATCATCGAAGGGGAAGATATGGAGGCAGTGACAGGTTTTACTTTCTTGGGCTCCCTGATCAGTGCAGATGGTGACAGAAGCCACAAAATTAAAAGACGCCTGCTTCTTGGGTGGAAAGCAATGGCAAACCTAGACAACATCTTAAAAGCAGAGACATCACCTTGCTGACAAAGGTCCGCATAGCCAAAGCTACGGTGTTTACAGTATTGATGTATGGAAGTGAGAACTGGACCATAAAGAAGGCTGACCACCAAAGAATTGATGCTTTTGAATTGTGCTGCTGGAGGAGACTCTTGAGAGTCCCCTGGATTGCAAACAGAACAAACCTATCCATTCTGAAAGAAATCAACTCTGAGTGTTCACTGGAAGGACATCCTGAAGCTCCAATACTTTGGCCATCTTGTGAGAAGAGAAGACTCCCTGGAAAAGCCCCTGATGTTGGGAAAGTGCGAAGGCAAGGGGAGAAGGGGACAACAAAGAATGAGATGGATGGAAATGAATTTGACCAAACTCCGGGTGGCAGTGGAAGACAGACGGTACTGGCATGCTCTGGTCCATGGGATCATGAAGAGTCGAACACAACTTAACGACTAAACAACAACAACATTGCTTCAACATTCCTGCCTCCAAGCGCTGATATGAAAGAGATCTGGTTAAATAATGACATGTAATTAGACACTAGTCCTGCCAATCTCAAAACTATAGATGTGGTTTGTTTTAGGGAAGTCCAGTTTTGATATATACATCTCAAAAATATTTCTGGATTAGTTCAGTTCTGGCTGATGACTGGTCAGAGCAGGGATTGTGAAGAAAGATTATTAGTCTTGAGTGCTGAGAGTACATCAGCAGGAAGGTATGAAAGTGGATATATGAAACAGAAACCAGGCAGCAATATTGGCCCACAAAACTGAAGAAATCTGGATCAAAGGATACAGTTAGATGTCCTCAGTAGAGAGAAACTTCAAATTCATTCATTCAATTTATATGCCGCCCACACTACCCAGAGGTCTCTGGGCTTATTTATACAAGGCAATACAGAGAAAGTATAGCAGACAACCAAGACCAACATGCTTAAAGGAGTCTAACAGAGGGAGGCAAAATGGAGAAGCTGTTTCCCCTCCCCCTCCCCCCCATTAAAATATTGAATGAGCAATCAATTTATAGGAAAAGCAAAGCAAAAGCAAAGCGTGCTGCTTATATACCACCCCATAGTCCTTCAAGCACTCTCTGGGCATTTTACAAGTTTATTATGCAGGCTACACATTGCCCCCCCCAGTGGGCTGGGTACTCATTTTACCAACCTCAGAAGGATAGAAGGCTGAGTCAACCTTGAGCCGGCTACCTGGGATTTGAACCCCAGGTCATGAGCACAGTTTTGGCTGCAGTACAGCGGTTTAACCCCTGTGCCACGAAGCTCTTCTTCTCTTTCAAGAAGAGAAACAGTGATGCAGAAACTGGCACTAAGAGGGCAGAGCACATGCTTGGCATGCTGGAAGTCACAAACTTTATCTTTTTGATCACTAGACAAAATATGGGAAAGAGCCCCATGTTAAATGTTGCTGTAGATCAAGCTGAATTGCATGGATCAACAATATGTCTTGGTATAAAGCAGCTTTCTACATTTTTGAGCCACAGAAAAGATGACAGCAGAATAAGATAAGGGCAGAATATAGACATTTGGATCCGGCTGCAACAAGCTAATCTATTGTCATAACCAGAGAGGTGGGGTGAAGGGGACTGACATTAGTTGGAAAGACCAAACAGGTTGAAAAGGGTAAGCCAAAACAGCAGAACTGAAGTGAATGTTTTAGGATTGTGGAGAGAAAGGGAAGAAATAAGATTGGTTAGAGATGAAATATGGGACAAGCGAGATGTTTCTGGTGTGCGTGGATGATCTTAGAAAAGGACAGGCCAAATCTCTCCAGGACTGCAGTGTCTGTGTTGTTTTTACAGAATCATGCATATCATCCTTTCATCCTCTATTGGAGCTTCCTTCATGTTCTTTTTCAGTGCAAAAAAAGGGAAGTGTCAGGAGCTCCACATCTTTTGACTCTCTTTCATCTACTTCTACCACTTGAACATGTAAACAAATCAGATAACTGGCTCTCAACAATCCCTCAGTAGTGCTGGGGAAATAGCTTGCAAAGTGCATGGAACACTTTGCTAGTGGCAGAAACGGAATGCAGTCTGAGTCTTCTCTAAGCGCAAGTTTCTTAGCTTGTAAAAAATGCTGCTTTATGAGAACTCTCTCCACTGCCAGCTCAGTCTGTAATGCATTTCTATTACAATAAAACAGCACAAAGGGGCAATACAAATCTCATAAGGAGGTCTTAAAGATGAAATGTCTCACAATATATCCAGTGAGCATTCAATTCATTTACAGTAAGTCAAACTAGAAGATGTAAAGAGGAATGCCTGACACTTTAATGCTTCCTTCTTGAGACATATAGCAGTACACAATCACCCATTTCATAAACAACATCTGGTGCAGTGATTTGGACTATGGCAGTGGCTTTTGTTAAAAGGCATGAACAGATGAGGGAAAGGCATAGTTCATCACCAATCTACAGACAGTACAGTCCTGCTATGGCTGTTCCCCACTTCTGACTCGGAGATCTGTCAGCAGCTTATTTGGTTCTAAATCCTTCAAGGGCACATATGCCTTCCGTTCGTTTCTATGGAAACAAACTATGTGCATCAGTAGGCTTCTGAGCATGACTTGCCCCCCCCCCCATGTGAATGGCTAATTGTGAGCAAATACACCAGCGGTTTTTGTGGAGAGTGAAATCTTCATCCTCAGTGGTGCAGTCTCATATAACTGGCCCTCTCATGACCTTACTCTCTAGGTCACTGGAGGGCCTTGCCAGAGGAAGATGCTATTGATCCACTCTTTGTAGTCCTTCAGCACCATCCCTCTGGGTAGTGTTATTGCAACTACCAGATCAGCAGTCATCAGCTGACACAAGGCATCAGCAGTATTCCAGAGGGGCCTATAAATCTATTGACAATACTTGGCTACTTGTCACTCAGGCATTGACTGAGTCCCCTCAGCTATTCCCTGTTTCTTAGCTCAGCTACCAGCTTGTCTTCAGAACTCTGACTCCTATTAACTATATTAATTGCTCTCTAACATAAATGACTACTAATGTAACCATTTCAGTATGGTTATCCAAACAGAAATATTTTTAAAAATTATTTAAGTACAATTTCAAATAAATTATTCTATATAGTTGAATTTGCATTCTGAATATCAATGTAGCACCCTTCGTTTCACAAAGCTTTAATAGTTATGTGTGTCAGTAACCTATTTCCATGCACTGCCCGTTTGTTTGTGATCAACACATAATGTACCTTAACATCTTTTCTTACCATAAATATATGAGATACCGACAAGCTCAAAGATGGCTATTATAACAAGTGAGTAAGATGCTGCATAGGTGTCCACGAGCTGCAACATGTACATCCCACCCTAAAATTAAAAAATAATAATAATAATAATAACTAAGAGAAATGCAAAATATTCTCAGAGATAGTCTCTTAGGGGAACCCAACTAATGGTGTCAGCCATGAGCAGCTGCTGGTTACTGCTGCTTTGTCACCACAATGCCTTCCTCCCCTGCAACTCTTCACCAAAAACACTGAAAAAACGTAAAATTATACATTGTAAATTTTTCATGTCTTTTCAGTTATGTATCACTTTTCATACCAAAGAGAATAACTGGAAATATCTGGGTGGAGGGGGAAAGATTACCTGCCATTTCCAAAGCCTGAACAGGATGGACTTAACCAAGTTTTTTTTAAGTCAGGGAGGAATTAACTATGCCAGATCCAGGAAGGCTTAGCAGAAAGGCTTGATCTTTGGGCCTTTTGAGGGAATGGAGTGTCTTTGTCTCCAATCCTACTCCCACCCACTGAAGCCCTGTTTTGGGGCTTCCTGGTGACAATAGATTTATACCCATAGAGCCTTTCAGCAATGTACCTCTGGCTTCTGAGGCCAGGTCCAGTAGTGCTGGGACTCTTAGGATGGGACAGTTAGGATGGGACTGTTAAGAAAATCCACTTTAAACTTTCATTTCAACCTATACATTTAGTTTTGAAAGTGAATATTCTCATGATGCTATTACTACTACTCTACCCCTGGGAGAAAACATAGTACATAATGTGTACGTATTAAGTCAGTGGTTTACCTGAGTGATCATAGGAAAGCCCATGATGAAGAAAGACGCACAGCATCCAAGAGTGAACAGAGGCTTGTGAGTACGTAAGTACTTTGGGAATTCATCCGCAACTGATGTCACTATTGTCTCAATCGTGGCAAACTGGGAAGAAATAGCAGGTAAGACAACATTACAGGAAAAAGCCAAACGAAGCTCCAGCTAAGACACTAGGGATCTTGATCTCTGTTGAGAAATCTATTCTGCTAGAACATATACCCAAGTGTTAGTGGTCCACTGATACTCCCTTGCGCCCCACCTCTTGAAAACTGATCATCCTTGATGTCTCTAACCTCTCTCTGTGTTGGGACTCCAGTTTCGTACAATGACAAATGTTTACCTCCTGATCATATGGTTTCCCTACAACTCGTTTTTACTGATGCAGCAAGCTCATTCCAACGACCCTTTGTATAGTTCCATGTTGCACATCATCTGCCTTCAATTGAAAGTCTCAGCCCTGATTTTTGAATCCAGCCAGCTCACTCTTGCTACATTTCAAACTCATTAACTCAGCTCTCCATCCTTGAGCAGCAATACAATCAACTCAAATTTATTTATTATACTATTCTGTAGGGGTCTTGCTGTCACTGATCTGTGCACTGAAGATTGTAACTTTTCCAGCTTAATGGCCTGATTAAGTTTATTGCAGCAAAATCAACAAAAAATTTCTGTGGTACCTCAAAGACTAGCAAGATTCATTTGATATAAGCTTTTATAGACTGTAGTTCATCAGCTCAGTTTCACACATTTGAGGAAGTGGACTATAATCTACAAAAAATGTATGTCAAATAAAAAAATGCTGGTCTTTAAGGTGGTGCAAGACTTTGTGTTGATATTTCTGGCACCTTGCACTCTTGAACTGAACATGAGCTCTACTCCAATCCAATATATTCTTACATAAGATTAATTCCTACTGAACTCAGTATGACACACTGCTGACTAGGCAGGCATTCTTCACATTTTTCTTTTTTGCCTGAAAACCTTAGAAGTGTGCTAGACTCCTGCAGCCAGATATAATACAGTTTTAATCTAAAATAATCCATTTTAACCCAAGATCTATCATGTGGTTGTATAATAAACATCAGGAAGATGGGTGAAAAAGCCAAGTTTACCATGGTGTCTAAGCCAAGAGTTAGAAGCATCAAGAAGAAGATTATAGCCCAAAATGGTGAAAGAGGAAGCCTGGTTAAGGCTTCAGGATAAACTACAAAGGCAATTCCAGGACCTAGAAAGGAGTACACAAGACATGGATATTGTTACACAAATTATTGACAAGGAACAATTAATAAAAGTGAGCTACATCATCCACAATATAGTATAATATAGATAAGCACCACATTGTGCTTCCTTTAGTGAAATAAAATAATATTGTTTTCCACTTCCGTTTAAGGGTGACAAAATTCTGATGTCAATTCCTACCTTCTTATTGATCAGGGTGTTATATGGCCACAGAATTTGTGATGTTCACAGTGTTGTGATGATAAACCTTGTTCCAGAACCGACTACTGGTGGGGCAGGGGACTAAATGTGCATGTAGAAGGGGTGATAAAGTTGATTATAGGAGGACTAAAGATTTTGCTATACATATTTACATATAAATATATTGTTGGGCGAGATAATATTATAACAGGACATATTTTGGAGTTAATCTCCCTCCCTCCCCGAGTGTCCCTTGGAGTCACTCTTTTTTATTCTGTTCTGTTCTTCTTGTTCTTCTAAACCACAACAGAGCAGAAACACTTTCTGAGTGACAAGGTTTTTTCACTGTCATTTCATCAAACATGCTCTGATTTCTCTCCATCACCTTGTTGCCCTGTGTTACAATACAGTTGCAGTGCTAATACATTTCTGCAGTTCATTTCAATTTACTTCACAAAATATTTAGGAAATTCTTGACAAGCTTTAAAAATATTGCTAGATGACAATATGTTTATTGGTGTGATGCAGTGTAAGTGGTGCCTTTTAAAATCCACTGTCAACTGGCATTTCTTTCTGGGCAAGAAGACTTAAGGGACCTTATATATTCATGAGCATGCTCTTTCATCTCTTGATTAAAGATTTCTTCTTGACTGCTATAGATAAGAAGGCTGTTTGCATTAGCTGCCTGCACTAGGAAATTAAATTATGGAATCAAAATAATGAGTCTCTAGAATTCATCATACCCTCTGGGAAAATTTAATTGCAGAAAATGAAATTGCAAATCTCCTTGATTGAGATCTTATGATTTAATCTCATGGGTAAGTGAGAGTTGTGGCCAAGAACAACCAAACATACAAAAGCCACCACTAGATTTCAATACTATCACAATAGAAATATCCTTTAAAAAAAAAACCAGAGCTAACTCCAGATTTAAGGAATAGTTCAAATGGTGTCTTTAAAAACAAGAACTTGCACACTGAAAAAAATGCTCCCATCTTTACATGTTGCTTGCTGTATCCATATTTTGCAAATTACAACCTTCTCTCATATGAGAAAGGGGGAAAAAGAGCCTTAGGCAAAAGTACAGTGCTATCAATTATTATACTGTTTATTATATTATTTTGCATTATACTGGCCAAAATTATGTTGTTATTGTATAAGGTTTGCATAACTTGCCATAGCTAATTGCATCTAATTGGTGAAGTCACAGGGTGCATTTTAGCTTCAGAGTTGGGCATGTGATCAGGCACTTGACCGAGATTTCTCTGGCATATCATCAATTAACTGAAATTAACCATGACAAGTTAGGCAAATTTATGCAAAACGTATTACAGTACATTACTTGGAGTATTTATAACCTGCCCACTAAGCATCTCTTGCAAGGTGGTTTATGTTATAATCAGAATATGACATAATATGTAATGGTTGTTAGGAAGAAGCAAAGATGTATATGGCATAGCCTTGACAAAGTATACTGTATGTCATGTGGAATTGGCCCCTTACATGCAAAAGCTATCCAGTTCATTATTATATTAAGTCATTCAATGTAATTACACTATACATTGAAGCACAACTGTACAGAACAAGCTTGCCCTATTCCATATTTTGTAAACTAGCCAGTTTTTCTTTTGTGATTGCGAACTTCTGATTCATCAGGCATAGGGTTTTGAAGGAACTATGTCTCTGGAGAACAGAAAGGAACTATGTCTCTGGAGAGCAGTGGCAGAAAATACACACTTCCCTTAACATGTAATTTGGCCTATGGACATTGTAGCCAATAGACAGGACAACTGTCTAAAATGGATCATCTCATTCTTCCATTTCATTAAATGAATAATTTGTATGGCCTATAATAACATAAGACTCGCCAGAGGTCATTCCAGCAGGAGACAATCACATATCCAAAATGCTTCCTTTACCTCTTTTGGTTGTTCCAAAAGATGTGACTTATGAGAAGATGTTAATAGTGTATTACCAATCCAAAACTGTGAGAAGGTCTTTCACATGTGAACAACTGTGTATTGTAAACACCAATAAGGAGAGCTATGGCTAAAATGTAAGTTTTGAACGTGTTGGACCAGGTTTACAAGATTTACAGCCCAAAACATGTGCCTGTTCAAACATCCTCAGGGTCCCAATTGAGGAGAAAAGGGAGACAGAGATTCCAGGGAGGGAGGAAGTAGTTCCTCTGAAGCTCATTCTGTGGGAGAATCTCACAGCCAGCACCTCTTGCAGAGTACACTATCCAAGGTCCTGATATCCCTGACCACCTCATCTATTGCGGACATGGTTTTGAACAATCAGTGAGGACTAATTAATTAACAAATGTTTTGCATTTCTCCCAGTCCAGAACCCAAGGTAGATCAGAATGTTAATTACAGTGCCCCAAATCTCACCAATATAATGCCAGCTGTGTAAATCTCAGCAGCAAAATGCCACACATTAAGTATAGGGTTTTCCTATTGAATCATGTGACTCATTGTGCAATAGTAAAGGCCTACTTTTGCTCTGAAAGTTACAGTGCCAACACTACAATTCCAGCCACTGAGTTATACTATTAAAACACAATGAAATGCATTATGGTATTAAGAACAAGCATTTAATTAGAACAATTTAAACTTAATTTAAAAACAGAGTGAAAGAAAAAAAAGAAAGAAAAGCCAACACCTACCATCTTCCACAGCTGCAAGTCTGTGGCCAAACGCAGTTTTAAATTTAAAAAAAAGTCTTTGGTTGCTGGAAAGGGGGCAGCTAGCCTCCCATGTACTCACTTACCTCAGGCCTCAGTTCAAGTCTGGACACTGCAGCTGCTGCTATGCCTGGTTGCTGCTGCTATTTCTAAATATTTGTACTGTTCTAGCAATGCACATGGTGCTTTACAGAGTGACATAAGCCCCCAAACATCAGTTGTTTTACTTGTGGAGCTTACAATTTAAATTTTGTCAGTGGTGGCTGACAGAATAGCAAAGAGAAAGCCAGAGGTAAGAAAGGGTATGACATTTAATTAATGGATTCAGATGTATGCCTTATAGATGGTTATTTATTTGTATTTCTTGAAACTCATGGCAAAGCTCCTGATAACAATGCTTCTTCAAAATAATATACAATACAAGCAGAACAGCTTATAGCCCAAACAGCTTAGCTCTAGCCCTCTAAGTAGGCTCTTGAGACATGGTTCACTGGGAACAACATTTTCAAACATATCTGTGCTATTTATTCTAGACTCCGAAACTGAAATAATAAACTATGAGGTTCAGGAAAGAAGATTTAGAAAAGATAATGTGATAAATCATAATCCACATGCATAGGTTCATATAAATGCATATGAAGCTATAGAATGTCTTAATAGATAGGCAGATCCTACTCATATTCAGAACTATAGCTGAATAAAAGGACTGCAGTTTCAGTGTACCTATCAGTGCCAATATGCAATAACATTTGGTAGTACAATTCCAAACTGCTGCTATATGTGTTCCGATTAATGTACATTTGCAAGTCAATTTGCACTCAGGTCAAAACAAAAACAAATATCTATTGTTGCAAAATTCATAAACAAGGCCAATATGAAAAACAAACCATACCTTGGTCAGCAACATCTTCAATGTCAACTTTAAGTTCATTTGCCATGAATCCAATAACAGAGAAGATGACAAAGCCTGCAAATATACTCGTGGCACTGTTGGTGCAAGTTACTATCAAGGTGTCCCTGCAGAAGTTGAGGAAAATAAAATATATTTGCCAGTTTACTCTAATGCACAAAATAAATACTCTAATGCTCCTCGCCTTTGGAACAATCTCCCTCCAGGAATTTGCGCGGCCCCTACGCTGGGCATCTTCAAAACCCAATTAAAAACATGGTTATTCACTCAGGCCTTCCCTCCAGCCAATTCTTGATTTTCTTCTTATTTTTCCTATTTTTTAGTTTATTTTAGTTGTTTTGTATTAGCCATGTATTTGTTGTGTTTTATTGTTTAATTTTATATGGAAGCCGCCTAGAGTGGCCCGTCGGTCCAGATAGGTGGGGGATAAATCAAATCAATTCTAAGAAATAAATAAATAAATAAGTAAATAAATAAATAAATAAATAAATGTGACTATTTATTTAGTTATTTTCTATATTTGTTTATTACGGATGTGCTACTGCAATTTTCTGAACTACTTTCTCCATTGTAGGAATTCCACCTGACAGACTCACATCTAAATTTTGCTTGTCTGGAAAAAGGCCTGGCTCCAAGACTTTATGGCCTAGTTCTAACTGGTTCCTGATCAAAAACAGAACTGCTCTAGCGCTAACTGGGAAACTATGCCATTGATTGAAATAGTTTAACTTGCTCCATTAATACCACATATCTTATAAACATCAAGTAAAGTATGTACAACTGTATTTTACCAGATGTGGTAAATTTAATTGTACATTTATATTGTATAGTTGACAGCAACAATATGAAGGCTGTTTCTATCATAATACTGTAGTTTGTAGAAATCTCCTGTTTGATTTAGCATGCAAAAAATTGTCAAGGGGAACCTTTACCTTTACCTTTATATTGTATAGTTGACAGCAACAATATGAAGGCTGTTTCTATCATAATAGTTTGTAGAAATCTCATGTTTGATTTATCATGTATGGATTGCCAATCATGCAGACAATATACTCAATTTTCTAAAGTGTCTGTCATGTACCTAGTCGGACAATGGCTGTGGAACCTATTGAACAATGGACAACATGCTGCATGAAGAAAACCATTTGCTTGGTTGTCATTTTGTGTCCAGTAAATTAAACAGAATACTGGCCTGAAGCCTTTACTCTATGGAAAATAACTCTGATTCCACTGCATTTCATAACATCTGTCTGGAAGCTGGGTCAGGGCAATTGGACTTCATTCTTATTAGGTTGAAATGTTTCAGATGACTAGCAAAACATTTCAACCTAATAAGAAAGAAGTCCAGTTGCCATGACTCAACTTCCAGATAACCTCACCTGGATGACTGAGAATCTTCACAGATATATTCATAACATCTCCTATATACAACCTTCATGAACTAAATGTGTGCTGGAGTTGCCACCCCTCTCATACATGCCCTTAGGATGACAAACTTCATGCCAATCTTTCCTGGACATTATCATTCTGTAATGTTTGTTACTGTGGCTGAAACCTTGTTGCTTAGCTTTGTAAGTCATACTAGAACAGGTCCACTGAAACAGTGGAGTTTTGATAAGTCATGTCCTCTGTGAGTTCTGTTGAATTGAACAGGGCTACTTTAGTTGCAACTTACTATGCCAAAAGAAGTTGCAACTACAGTAGGCCCATCTGAATAAACTGAAGTCCCAGAAGAGATGACACGCCAAATCCCACTGATTAAATGGGCCTATTCTAGTGTGGCTTACTATAGTAAGCCACAGGATTTCAGCGAGTGTGACATGATCATTTTTTAATTTGCCCATATATGTCTAAATGTATGCTTTACATGATAGGTGATATTATATACTGGATAGACCACTGGACTGAGAGTTGGGAGATGTAAATTCAAATTCCCTCTTGGCAGTAAAATCTACTTGGTGACTTTTGGCCAGTCTGTCTTTCTCAGTCAGACCTACCTTACAGGGTTCTTCTGAGGATAAAAGTGATGGGAATAAAAGTGAGTTTCATGGAGGCAAGGTAAGAGATGAGCATTTTTTCTATATAAATATAGAAATAATAGATATAGAAGACAATGATAGAATGCTAGCACTATCTTGCAACACTCCTAGTTAGCTATGACAATTCCTACACAGATATAAATCACTATCCCTTGTCCCATTCATAGAGTTTGCTTCAAGAACAAACTGCTTTTGTGAGCTACCTCCTGATGATTCTCTGGCATGAACCACTGCTGGAATTTCCTCAAGCTAGCTGCTAAAGCAGAAGTACCCAATCCCCGGTCTTGGCAGGACTGGGCTGCAGAGGCAGATCTCCCACCCAACCCTGCACACACAGACACACACATGGCCCCCCCATGCATGCAAGGATACATGCACGTCCTCCACACACACATGCACAGATGCACGCACAGCCCCCCACATGCACACAGAGACAGATGCATGCTCACCGGATGCACACATACTTCCACACACACACATGCTCCTCGCTCACCCACCCACCCACAGATGTACTCCCACATGCATACACACACAGAGAGATGCATAAATTCCACACGCACGCTAAACCAGTCCGTGGTGTCAAAAAGATTGGGGATCACTGTGCTAAACAGCACTTTTCTGGTGGGACCTGTTTGAGGGTGTATAACTCAGACATCCAAAATCCAAAATTCACCAAACTTGGAGGGTGTATAGAGGAGATTCAATGGAAGCTTCTCTGCAATTTTGGTGACTCTAGATATCTGGGGGGAGCATTCTCAGGCTCCCAAACTTCAAAACCAAATCAAATCAATTCATTATTCATATTTTTCCATAAGTTGATTCATGGACTTCAATGAACCACAAACCACAATGAGACACACAAATGACACACTAACTAGCAGCTATTTACTTCTTCAAAGTTACACCAGTGCATTTATGCAGGTGTAAAAACTCACTTGGCTTTAGATTATTACCAGGTTAGATGATGGACATAGATTTTTTTTCCTTTATGAGTTTTTTCTTTGAGTCAATTAATTCTTTAATACTTTTAACTAACTGCATGCCACCCATAGAATGTTGGTTAGTTATCAGTTTTAAAGAGTTTCAAATCTGGGAGATCAGTTCCTCACTGTGCCTTCTTGATAGGGGCTGGATTCAATCATCCATAGGGTCCCTTCCAGCTCTGCAGCTCTAAGATGATGATGATGATAAATACTGCAGCATTATAATGTTTATGGGTAGTGAACATTCATCAAAATTCTTTATCCAACCTGATGACTAAGTTGAGTCTCTCTTTTGAAAATCAAAGCATTTCTATATTTCCTTTCTGACTGTTAACTAGCATGGCAGAATGTAAATGAACTGCATGTGTACAAAATTTCAGTCTGTTCTGAATGCCACTACAGATATCCCCTTTTAATCCTTTGAGTATCTATTCTAACCACAGCTACAGAGATAATATTTCTTCCTCCTCCATCACACAGTATGTTTGGCTTCTAGAAGGAACAAAGAAGTCACTTCTGAGCGAATGGTCATCGGGGAGGTGACATCATCACTTTTGATAATGGGAAGGCTGAAGAGAGTTTTCCATGGAGGCCTATAGCAACTGCCAGAACTGAAACTTTTTATAGGTGCCTGAAGCAATTCCACCTACCATGTGAACTAGGGCCTTGCACCTAAGAAATGCCATATGAACAGCCAAAAGAATCTGTGTACTTATTACAAGTCAGTTCTGAAAATAGTTTCTGAGTATAAGCTTTTCAAAAGAAATAAGTGGATAAAAAGAACAAGTTTTTAATGCTGCTGCAGGCTGTTTACAAAAAGGAGAAACCATGTCTATGTGTACAGTACATGCACACATGTGTACAGTATATGTCAGGCAAACACAAAACAAAAATGAACAAATAAAGAAGACAAAAACATTGTGAGACCTTAAAGACTAACTACTGTGTTTAAATGTGAGCTTTTGTGGACAAGTCCACTTCTGGAATTAATTAAAATTAATTAAAATACAGCAATTAGTCTTTAAGGTGCTACGACATTTTTGTCTTTATTTTTTCATTTTTGCTTTGTTTTTGCTTGATATGCTAGCATGGACTAACATGGCTACCACTTCTAAAACTACAAACACGTCTATATGTTTATTAAGCCATACATGTCCTGATAAAGTCATGGCTCAGAAGTATAAATGGAGAGCTTTTCTCCAAAATAATATCAAAAGGTTTTCCATTTCAATGCCACTTGTTTATTAGATGATGAAAAGCAATGCAGGAGCCTGCCAAGAAATGCACCCTGCAGTTCTTCCAGAGCCTCTAAGGGAGACTCCCCTTAAGCAAGATAATGTGATCTATTATTATTTTTCCTTCCTGCTGAGCCTTGATAATGTTAACTACAGAAGCAGATTGCTGTGTTTTTACCTTGTTCTGAGGCAAACTTTTTTTTCTTTTGGCTCTGGATCAACTTCAGACAGAAAGATATTCACTAGGAAAGTCTATTACTTCTACAGAATTTTAAAATGACGTTTGCTACAGAACAGTGTTGCAAAACTGAAATGATCTGTCTGATGTATACAGATAAAATACCCTGAGAAGCAGATTGTTTAAAATTATATTAAACCAGTTTTGTTGTACTGAAATCAGAGCTTGGAAAACTTACTTTTTAAGAGTACATAGAATCATAGAATAATTGAGTTGGAAGAGACCCCTCCACTGCATGATTATCTTTCAAGTATTTGAAAAATGCTATCATATCCCTCCACCATTGGTCTTATTTTCTCAAAGCTAAACATGCCCTGTCCTTTCAGTGTTTCCTCACGGGGCTTGGATTTATGTTCCATGATCATCCTTGTTGCCCTCCTTCTTAAAGTGCAGTGTCCAGGAGTACAACTCAAAGAACATCCAGATAGGAGCTGCAGTTCAAAAAAATCAGTTTCCAAGGTCAGGCTAAGTCAATATATGAGGTAAAAGCTACTCATAACATTCGTTTCCTTCCTCATCTAGTCCAAGGTTTCTATTTTCTGTGGAGGGATGATGTGAGGATAAGGCGACATCACTGCTACTTCAGTTTTGTAAACTATGCCCAGATTTACA